GTCCGGCGGGGGATGCGGGGGGTGTTCATGGAGCGACCGGTGAGAAAGGAGGAACCCTCCCCCCACCCAACTCTCGACAACACTGCACTGCGCGCAGAGAGGGAGGGTAGTGGGGTAGTTGCATGTGTGTCCGGAAAACCGTGCATTTGTATGGGGAATCCTAAGGATTTAGGAGGTGGGAACGCCGCAGCGAGCGCGATCCTGCATCGGGGGCCCGGGGGGCCCCCCGGCTTTGGGTTTTCCCCACGGGGGCATTGTTTAATTCTTCGCGTCTTCTGCTATGGATGATTGTGGGGCGGCGGTGATTGAGGCCATGGCTATGGTCGATGTCTGCTGGCCGGCTGCAGGTGGGCCCTGTGACTGGGCCGCCTGAGGGCGTTGCACTGATGTGGCGGGAGGGGGTGTTGGAGGCGGTGACATCCCGGCAGCAGCTCTACTCTAAAATGGACCCGGGGGTCGCGGGACTGCCGCCGGGTGTGGCAGGTGTGTGTGTGTTTTGGGGGCCGCGTGGGTGAGGGGGGAAGGAGGGGTATATAAGAGGGGGAATGAAAGCAGTAGGCGCAAAAAGGCCTACTTCCTACTTGTAAGCCCGTCAAGGCGGCGCATCGATATCTCAGCAGTGCCGTACGGCCGTACGCCACCTCGACCCCACTCCTCCGTTCGCCAGTGGTTCGTCTTACCCCACCGTCTCCCCGGGGAGGAGCCCTATCCCGGTTCCAGTCCCCAGGCTCTCTCCAGTCCTCTCCTTCACCCCAGAGCACACCTAAGCCTCCCCTTCCTCCGCCTCCTAATTCCCCCGCACACACCCCGCTTCGCCTGCAACTGCCCTTTGCCGCCTCCGCCGCCTCCGCCCAATCGCCACCTCACTCAGGCACTCGGCCCTGGTCCAAGCTACGTGAGCTCGGGGAGGGGGTCCTCATGTCGCTGTTCCGACACAAGCCCACCGGCCGCCTGCTGGTGGCGGCAGTGACACACCTCTTCTGGAATCCGGTGTGTATGTATGTATGTATGTATGTATGTATGTATGTATGTATGTATGTATGTATGTATGTATGTATGTATGTATGTATGTATGTATGTATGTATGTATGTATGTATGTGTGTGTTTGGTGTCTATGTAAGGGGGTTGGTGCATCGCCCGTCAGCCCCCCGGTCCCATGGCTGGGGGGTTGGGGCTGTGGGTTTGGTGAATGGCGCTGAGGATGGGCTTGTTCAGGCGGCCGGGGGGCTGAGGCTAGCGTGAGGTGAAGAGAGGGGTTCGGTTCGGGGTGAAAGAAAGGGAGGAAGGGGCGATTAAGCAAGTTTTTTTTATCGGTGTTGTCTTTGGGTTTGAGATATCAGTTGCGGGAGGACTCCGCATTGGGAGTGGGGAGTGGGAAGGGGCAATAGCGGGAGGGAGAGCTGTTGAGTTCCCTTCAGCAGGTCCGCCGGAACCGCGCCGGGAAATGGTGGTGGATGTGATGGGTGAGGGGAGTACCTACGTACTCTCTGGCCTGTGTCTACCCCCGCCTCTTCACCCCTACCTACCCCACACTTGCAAACCGGGGTTAACCCCCAGTAACCACCCTCCCCTTCCCGCCGTACGGCACGATTACACAATGTACGACAACAGGACTTCCCGGATGTCAAGGCTCTTCAGGTCGGTGGGGCGGTGGGGCTGCCCTGGGGAAGGGGAGTGTGTATGTATGTATATGTATTTGTATGTACCTGTATGTATGTGTGTGTATTTGTGTGCCTCATCAGCATCCGAACGCGTCAAGCACACCTGCCTGCCTTTCCAATCCCTCCCGGTGAATGCCTTTCAACCGGCATGTAAATCGTCACCTTGATGGTGCTGGTGCTGTTACAGGGGCGGACATCCCCCGAGGGATATAGAGTCTTTTCAACGGGCCAATCGCGCGTTCCCCCTTGTTCCGTTCCTTGCGACCCCTGCAGGCCGCCCTGCTCTGCGGTTCGCTCTCCACCTTCGCGAGGACCTCCGCGGCCGCGTCCCGGTCCTCACCCGCGGCGGCCTCTGGCGGTGCTGCGTCCGCCAGCAGCAGCAGCGGCGGCGGCGGCGGCGGCGGTAGCGGCGGTGGCGGTAACGGTGGCGGGGAAATGACCCACGGGTCAGCTCCCGGTCTGGTGCTCTTCGGGGACTTCAACAGCCTGGCCCGGAAGTGCCTACCGGACAAGTTTGATCCAGAGGTGCGCTCGCACCACCGGCAGTAGCGGCAGCAGTAGCAGCAGCAGTAGCAGCAGTAGTAGCAGCAGTAGCAGTAGCTTGTAAAGCTTAGCAGCGCTCCACTCCGAGGTGGGGTAGTGGCTGTGGGGTATTTGACACGCGAGCAGTCCTAATACCCCAATGTAATGGCGGCTACTGGCGCCTGGAGGCTGTGTGACACCGCATGTCACTGTCCCATGTTGCATCGTTTATGAAAGCCTCGCCTCGTCTCCCCCTCCCCTCGCCTCCCCCTGCCCGGCCTTCTCCCTTCTGCTCTTCGGCCATAGCCGTTCGCGCCGGAGCCGCGTCCAGAAAAATCCCTTTTCCGCCCTCCTTTTCCTTCCTTACTTCTTGTTGTATGAGGAGCCCACCTGGTCCTGCCCTCATAAAGCACCTCCTCATGCCCCTGATGCTCGTTGCGCTCGTCATGCCCCCGTTAGGCTGGAAACGGTGGAAATGGTGGAAGTGGTGGAAGTGGTGGAAATGGTGGAAATGGTGGTTGTCAGCTGTCAGATGATCCCGATCTGGGTCCGCATATCCGGGTCTGCACGTTCATCCAGTTGTTTTCCGCTCCGCTTCCCACCGCTCCGGAACCGCAGGTCCCGCCAGGCGGCCTGGCTAGTGGCGTGTACTCGCTACTGTCCCACGGGTCGCTCCCTCCCAAGCATCCCGACCACCCCGCCACTCGCGTGTGGGAGGGCGAGCCCCCCGCCCCACCGGGGTCACAGCGCTTCCCGGCTGTGCCCCTCACCAGCGCCCAGCTGCAGCTGACCAGCATGAACGCGGAGTTTTTTGGCAGGTTGATAGTGGGAGGGTGGAGGGGGAGGGTGGAGTGGGGGGGTGGGAGTGGGAGGGTGGGAGTGGGAGAGGTTGTGGATCGGCCTTGAAACCCTCGTTTATCCTGCGGCCACGGCCACGGCTACTGCTATTAGTATTGCTGTTGCTACTGCTGTTGCTACTGCTGTTGCTACTGCTACTGCTACTGCTACTGCTACTGCTACTGGAGGCCATTGACACCGCCGCCGTCACTGCCGCCATCTTCCCGACACCCACCTTGCAGCCGCGGTGTCCCCAGCGGCAGTTGACAAGTGGCATAGCCACTTGGGGGAGTATTTGACCGGCCGTGTTGACACATACCCTTTCCCCCACCCCTCCAGGGAACCTCCGCTGACCACACGAACCGCCACTTGGGCCGGTTGCATCGACTTTGTGTGGCTCTCCCGAGGCGATTTTGCCGTCAGCTCGGCGCTGGCGATGCCGTACAGTGACGACGGCCTGCCGCCGCTGGGCCCAGACGGCGGCGGCGGCGATGGCGGCGGGCGTGAGGCCTCCTGGCGTGACCCGTTCGCAGATATCGCTTTCACCGCCATCCCCGATGAGTTTTTTCCGTCGGACCATTTGGCTGTGGGCGGCGAAATTATGGTGCTATAGCCGGCGCTGCCGCCGCCGCCGCAGCAGCAGTAGCAGCACGAGTCGTTTCGCCGCGTTGGCGACGGCAATGGCAGCAGTGGCGGAAACAGCAACATATGCTGTGCGGCGGCGATATAGTAGCGGGTTCTGAAAACTAGCAAGGGTGTCCGAGGTGGCGGCGCGCGAGGAACGCCGTGTGGAAGCGTGCGGCGGGGCCAGATGCCGGGCCAGAGCTCTTGCAGCCGTGCCTGCTAACCGATCGTCCATCCCCCCCTAGGCCTTGTTTTAAATCTTCCGTGAGCCGCTGTCTCTCGCCGACTTGGAGATAATTAGGACTTCTCCTGCACGCACATGCTTTGTCGAGTCGGCTACAGTTGCATGACGCCACAACTGCCAGAGGCCATCGACGGTTTAAGTGCAAGTGCAAGCTCTGCCGAAGGTTGATAGGTCCCGTCGCGGACCTTCCGGCGTTGTAGTGCGCGGGACGCGAGGGTTACAATGCGGGTTTGCAACTCGTGGTAGGCCCGTGATCGTTTTAGACGGCCCTCGAAACCCCCTTGACGCGTGTACCGAGCTCGCATTACGTAGTAGGGAATGTGGAAACACAGAAAAGAATTGGAACTGTATTCAATGATGTGGAACAGTATTCGAACCTTCAAGTAAAACACAGAGAGTGAAAAGCGGAGTGAGTAAAAAGCAAGAGGCATGTAGTCAAGCAGAGAGGAGAACACCGAAAGTAGTATGTTTGCCGTACAGACTTATGTACGAATCATGGCGCCATTGCACCACTGGATTAACCATCCAACCAGGAGCGGTGAGAACGGTAAGTCTCTGGTAAGTTGTTCCCCAACGCCACAGCGGCGGATGGGGCTTCTGGGCAGCTTGTGGTGCAGCTACGGCTCGGGGCGAGTGAGGCCGTGAGTATTTTTACTGTAAATGTATTAAATGTAAAAGGGTCGACTGTGCCTCCCAAGCTCCTGAAGGAAGCGCTACTGGTAAACATGCTGTTACTGCTAGTGGTGTCACTCCGCGCGCGTTAGTAATGTAGTGTAGTGTATGTTAATCGCTGTGCTCAAGTAGGTTAGACCTAAGATTTCTGTACTGGATTTCAATGCACCAGTGATGCAGTGGAGCCCTTGAAGAACAATCGACTTCTTGCTTGCCAGCCGTACATTGCCAGCCGTACATTGCCAGCCGTACAGACCAGAGTACGAGAGGCCATGGTGCCAGACTGCTCAGCTCCGCCAGCTAAGGGGGCGAGTCCAGGAATCGTAGTGTTGTTATTCGCTAGGTGGGGTCTTGGTGGGGTGGAGGGTAGGTGGGGGGGGTCCAGCAGGAGGAGTGCTGACATGCCGTCAGGTGTCTGCATACATCCATGGGACATTTGTATGAGTGCGTGCGTCTGTGTGTGTGTGGGAGTTTGTGTGTATGTATGTGTGTATGTATGTGTGTGTATGTATCTTGCCAACCCTCGTGGCGAGGTTCCTCGCTGCTGGGAAAGTATGCGCCAGTCATCTATACTACGCCTTGCGATGCAATAAGTATGCCGAAATTTTATCGCTTTGGTAATTCGAGGAAGTACGGCTAAGCGAGCAAGTGAGAGTGTCTTCTGCACTTGTCTGTTGCAAAGAAGCACAATTGAAACGCGTTTGGTAGGCAAAGTGTACCTGGTGATTAATTCTAAAGCAAAAGGCGATCATATATTCGTAATAACGAGTTTTATCGGCCCTTGCGCCCCTTGGATTTTTGCGACCGTTGCTCAACCTAACTGATAGTTTTGTGCCAACGCTGCCTATACTCAATATTTCTGACATGAGCAAGATTTCCCCACATTCGATGTACGCAAATGAAACGTAGATGCCTTGAAAGATTATTACGCTGACCAGCGCGCTTCGAAGGACGATGACCTAGTTGCGGTCTCGCCATAGTATCATGTAATAGCGAAACGAAAATAACATATGTTTCAAATACAATACCGGTCCAGCTGGGCCACACAATGTCTGTCCTGACGCGGAGATGAGGGCTAGCTTCGTAGAGCGCGGCCCAAAGGAGAAGCAGGAAGCTCCTCGTGGATTGCTTGGCTTCCTTGCCAAGAGCCAGTCCGCTCAGCGTTCTGGGCACGTTTCGCCACCTCATGGGTCCAGCAGCGAAAGCGACGACGATGAAGACCAGGAACGCTTCCGATACCCCGGCATGCCGCGAGAGCCCAGGCCCATCAAGCTCACAGATCCTTATCCCGGGGGAAAGCTGGCGGGATCCAAGGCAGCCGTGGAGGTTGCGCCAGATGTCCAGCCGCTCGAGCATGATGGCTCCACCACGGTGCTCTATGTCAAGGCAGGCAGCGAGCACCGGGCGTTACTATACCTCATGCAGAAGGTACGCACCCTAGGGTGGGGGTATATGCTGGTCTCCGCTTATCATCAGCGGGAAGTAGGAGGCCTGCTTGTTTCATTCTCCCTTCCTACCGTCAAGCCAGCCACAAGCGGTGTCCCCGCGTGGTGTAATACCCCACCCAAAGCACGGCATGGCTGCCGGAGGTCTGTCACTGCACTCCCGAACCAGGAGCCTGTCACAATATAAAAAGGTTGAGGGAATTATTTTCTGACCCAGATCATGCGCACACGTCACTTTTTTATTGGGGTCAATAGCGGCCGTGCTGGCAGCCAGCGGCGACTCTCTCGGCGACAACGGGCAGTAGCCGTAGCCGTAGCCGTAGCAGCAGCAGCAAGCAGACGCTGTGGTGGAGAAAGGGGGGGGGTAATCAGCACCACCTGGGAGCAGCAACGGCAGCAATGGCGGTGCGGGCGGGCAGGCCTCATCAAGCGGCGCCAGCTGGTGGAGGGAGGCGTCACATGGCCCGGCACATGGCCCGGCACATGGCCCGGCACATGGCCCGGCACATGGCCCGGCACATGGCCCGGACATGGCGGTAGGGTGGGGGCTTGGGGGCGGGCCCAGACAACAAGGGCGGCACCCGCCCCACCCCCCCCAAGGCCCCATGGCCCTATGGCGACCCCATGAACCCTATTCGCAGCCTTACTCTAACCCGCCGCTACTTTCCTCCGTCCGCTCGGCCCAATAGCAGCACCCGACACCCCCCCCCCCAGCCAAGGGCTCAGTCAGCAGGTTGCAACTTTGGACGCCGGCAGCTGTGTTTTTACCCCTTCTTGACTTGGCGTGTAATGATGCACCGCCCGTTTCCGGTGCTTGTGTGCCCCTGTGCTGGTGGCCCCCCGAAGCACCCCCCCGCCCCCCCCGCACGCCGGGCACCTCTCAGTGACCATTTCCGTCACCAGACCGCGACGGAGGTTGTAGCACAAAACGGCCGTGACCCCACCACGCCACGCTAGGCCACGCCATCTGCTGTGCTAATAGCCTGCGCGTGTATGTGGGGTGGGCTGAAGGAGCTGTGGGGGAGGTGGGGGAGGGGCCCGGGGTGGTGATGCGGAGGGAGGTGGATTACATGAACCCTCGTGGTGTTGCGTTCGCCGCGTCCAGAGGGCTGAGCTCAGCTTTTAGCTCAGGCCTGGACGCGGCGGAAAGTAGGGGGGAGTAGGCGCACGGCACTAAAGTAACCCGACGTATAGCGAAGCAGATTTACGTAGTTGAGCCACCGCCATGAGCTCATGGCGATATGTTACATCGTAACTACGGAGCTCGGCGCGGTGCTGCGGAGACGCGGATTGATGTCTGTGTCACCCCCTAGGAGGGGCCGCCGCCACCACAGCAACCCTGTCGCAGCAAATGCACAACACCTAGCGGGGAGTAGCGGAGGGGGGGCCACGTGGCTTGTGCTGGTGGCCAGGTGGAGGCGCCTCCCGCCCCCCACAGGGTGAGGAGGGCCATCAGGCCATCAGGGCGGCGGGCGCGGCAGGATCCGTGGCAGGATCCGTGGCAGGATCCGTGGCAGGATCCAGGATCCATCCAGTACATAATGAACCATGGCTGCAGACAGTAGGCGACAGCGAGCAGTACAGTACGGCATGACAGTGCAGTACGGTACAGCCCCAACGATTGGTTCTCCCGTGCTGTCTGTCCCCCTCTCCCCCCCCACACCTCCCGCCGTCCCTCGTAATCAGACTTGAGTGGAACTTACAAGGATACATACACACATACACATGCACACTTTTCATGGGACATGCAATCATGCTTCTTGCGCTCCTCCCCTGCGTTCCTCCCCTTTCCCCCTCTCGCATATGTTCCCCCCCTCTTATACGCTCTCTCCACCCTCAGCTCTCTTCCACTGATGTACGGATATACTGGTGTTTCAAGTGTGCACATGCGCACCGAACTCCCCCCTTCCCTCCCTCCCCTCCACCGCAGGTCAATCGGTACTTCGCCCTGGACGACATGCTGCCTGAGGTCCCCCCGGAAATAGCGGCCTACCACTACCTCGTGCTGGCGCCTCCTAAGGGTAAGGGGGCGGGGAGGAAGGGAGGTGCATTGGAGGGCCGAGGAGGGCTTGCACTGGAAATGTGTGTGTGTGTGTGTATGGATGTGTGTGGCGCAGGAGGGCTTTTATTGGTTGTGATGGGGTGAGGTGCGGTGGGGCTGGGACGGTGTATGTATGTATGTGTGTGTGTGTGAGTGTGAGAGAGAGGGTGTATGTGTGTGTGAGTGTGAGTGTGAGTGTGAGAGAGAGGGTGTATGTATGTATGTATGTATGTATGTGTGTGAGAGTGTGAGAGAGAGGGTGTATGTATGTATGTGTGTGAGAGTGTGTGAGAGAGAGAGGGTGTATGTGTGTGTGTAGTGGGCTACTCGTGCTCCTGCCTTCTGATGCTGTGTTTCATGGGTTTTCCTGTGTCCTCTGATGTCCTGTCCCACCGGTTCCTGTCCCTGTCCCATCCCTGGTTCCTTCTCCTTCCTGAGACTCTTTTGTTATGTTAGCCCTGCTGTGGTGTTGGGTCGCTGCTGTGTGCTGCTGCTGCTGCTGCTGTGTCCTGTATGTGTGCTGTATCCCTCCAGATGGCCCGGTGGATGGAGACGCCACCACCAGCTTCCGTAACTCGACGTTGTTTCTGTTGTCGGGTTTGGTTGTACGGCGAGTCAAGATGCTCGCTAAGGACCCCATGAGCGTGGGGCTGCTGGACAGCACTGTACTGCAGAGGAGGTTGGGGGGGAGGGGGCGGGGGGGTTAGGACAGGGGGAAGGGGGGGAAAGGGGAAAAGGGAAAGGGAGGGGAGGGTGGAGGCTGGAAGGGTTGGAAACGGAGGGGGGGCAAGGCCCTGGGCTACTAGGAAGGGACCAGGAGGGGACAGGCCATGCAAGCCCTAGCCAAGAAGACATGATTGATTAATGCTGGTTATGTCTTGCTCCGAAACCACATCCATCCACGCACCCTCCCTGCCCCGTCTCCCCTTCTAAATGATCCTCCCTCTCTCTTTCCCTCCCTCTCTTTCTGGCAGGCTACCCATGCGCAAGCTGGCGGCCCGGCTTGCAGACACACCGGGGGGTGGTGCCGCCGCCGCCACCGGCGGTATCGGCAACAGCAGCATCGGCAGCGGCAGTGGTCGCAGCAGTAGCTTCTCCACCGCCCACGCCACCCGCAAGGCCAGCTTTGCCCGGAGGCTGGGGGGGGAGGCCTCCGGGGAATCGGATCCGGAGCCGGGCCGCCGGCGGGAGGCAAAACGATGGTGGGGAGGGTGGGGAGGGCGAGAAGGGTGATTTTGGGGGGTCTGCAACAGAGGTTTAGGGTTTTCTGTAGTGGTTTAAAGCTGCGGAGAGGCTTTCAAAGCTCCTTCCCCTTCAGATACAGCATGTGATGTGAAATGGAGAAGGAAGGCTGGCTGGCTGGGGGGTTTTGCACGTATCGATTCCCCCTCTATTAGCTTCGATTCCCCCTCTATTAGCTTCGATTCCCCCTCTATTAGCTTCGATTCCCCCTCTATTAGCTTCGATTCCCCCTCTATTAGCTTCGATTCCCCCTCTATTAGCTTCGATTCCCCCTCTATTAGCTTCGATTCCCCCTCTATTAGCTTCGATTCCCCCTGATGCCGCCTCTATTATCTAACCTCCCACCTGCTGCACACCTCCCCTCCCGCCCCACCCCCACCCCCACCCCCCACCCCACCAGGGCCCCTCGCTCCCGCCGCAACGGCCCCCCAGAGCTCATCCCCGTGGCCATATACAGCCATCCGCTCTATCTCGACACGGCCGCCTCCATCATCCGCAACTTCAACCGTACGGGCCTTATTGTAACGCCCTATCTGTACTCGACCGTCGTGGCGGCGGCGGCTGTGTGCACCATACAGGTGTGTGTGTGTGTGTGTGTGTGTGTGTGTTGCAAGGGTGAGATATACATGAGGAGACGGGCAACGATGATGAGTACGTAACCCCTTACCCCATTCCTATCTCTAAACCCCCCGGGTCCCCTTAGCTTTACCGCCTGCCATCTCCGTACATATTTCTCCGCTGGCCCCTTCCTCCCCCCGCCCTCAAACCCCCTCCCCCCCCCCCCCACAGGGCTGGTGGCGCTCCCACCTGATTCGCGGGATGTCCAATTTCGGGGCGCTGCTGAAAATGAGCCGCGCGGCCCGCACCATTCAGAGGGCCTGGAGGAACTGTGAGTGGTTGGAAGGGGCGATAAGACGGGGGGGAAGGGGGGTATGTGGAGAAGGAGGGGGGTTTTTGTGGAGAAGGGGTTGGTCAGGGGCATCAGGGTGCTGGGGGGAGGGGGGTAAGACGAACCACGAACGAGTGAAGCTGCTGCCAGGGGACTGGGGGGGACCCCGCTGGGTTTAGGGGCTCTCTCCTTTACGACGGGGGCCTCGTCTCGTTCCGTCTCCCGTGGGCTAAGCGCCCTCTCGATGTGTATCTCTTTGACACTGCCTACCCCACCGCAGCCCCCAACCCCTTCCTCTTGGACGGTGGCAGCTCATGCTTGCACTTCCTGTACGATCCCTCTCCAAGCCTTCCGTTGTCTCAACACCTCTCTTAAAAAAAGAGGTCTGAAACTAACCTCCCTTACCCCTCTAGCCCCTTTTTCACCCTCCTTCCCGCGTTTCCGCCCCCCCTCCCCCGTTCAGATATCCTCCGCAGCCGTCTGCTGATGCTGTCCACCATTCGCCGCCTGGCCGCCAGCGTGGGCTCCCTGCTGCTGGGGGCCAACCTAGCGCTCACGGCGGGGCACTGTACGGCACTTCGGGAGCGGGCGGGGCGGCCCCGGCCCGCGGCGCTGTTCCCCGAGCAGAGGCTGCGGTTCGGGTTCGACCGTGCGGGGGCCCTGTTGCTGGTGGAGCCGGACAAGGTGGAGCCCAAGAGCGTGAGGGAAGGTAAGGGGAGAGCAGGGGGCGGGCGGGCGTGTGTATGTATGTGTGTATATGAGTATGTATGTGTGTGTTAATAAGCTGAGCCGTGGGTGGGAAATGGCTACGAGCGGCAGGATAACACGCGGGCAACTGGATTGGATTGGTTGGTTGAGGGAAGGAAAGAGGGAAGGAGGGGCAGTGCAGTGCAGCGCCGTGCAGTGAAATGGCCCAGGAAGCTGTCTTGGGCTGGTCAGGCAAATTGGTGCGTAGGGCGTCGGGACATTATTTTTTGTATTTTATATATACATATACATATATATGTATATATACGTATATATATGAGAGAGACATGTATATTATGTATAATCATACATATGATTTCGGTCCTGTATATGTTCCCCACCCACCCCCCTCATCTCCGCCTTTCTCCGCCTTCCTCTGCAGGTACCTGGACTCCGGGTCTGCCCCCTCACCCCGTACCCCGCTCCCTGCCGGAGTGGTGCGCAGTACCCCTGGCCATGAGCGGGGAGAGGGCGGCCGTGTCGGTGCATGGCTGCAGGGAGGTGGCGGGGCTTGAGAGTGTACTGCAGCTCATCACGTGCGACACCGTGTGGCGGGTGGGTATGCGGCGCGCCAGGGGAGAGGGAAGCGGGTTTGAGTGTGCCGGGGGGCCGGGGGCCCTATTCTACAAGCCGTACGGTCTTGATCCTTTCCTTCTTTATAGACCCCACAGTTCCTCGTGCTTTATTTGTAAACCTTGTTCGACTTTTGCAATCTCTTGTCCTTTACTTTAATCCTCCACTTCAACCTCATCTTCCCCGTCGTCCTCACCTCCTTCACTCTTCCCCAGGACAACGCCGGGAATGAGCTGTCACGCACCACGCTGCCGGACACGTCCCCGCCGGATCCCGCAGCTACTGCCGCCACCTTTGCCGGCGGCGGCACGCCCGCCGACGTCGTACTTGCCGTCATCACCTTTCCTTCCGTGCACGAAGCTGCCGTACGCGCCGCGCTGCTGTCCATGTATACTTGGGATCCGCTGCGTCGTACAGGCGTCAACCTCGTACCGCTCCACCAGACCGCCGCCGCGCGCGGCGTACAGACGCAGGCGGCTGTCGTACAGGCCATCAACACAATTGCCGCCAGCGCCGGGCATCTGGTAACGACGCCGCCGGAGGCGGAGCCGCCGCCGGCGACCGCCGGCCCGGCGGCGGCAGCCGCCGCCGCCGCCGGCACGTCGCCTATCTACCCGTCCACGGTCGGGCTGGCTTGGCGTCACGCGCCCCCGGGCAGCCGCGAGCGGCAGCGCGGTAGTGGCATCATCGGCGGCGGCGCGACGCCAACTCGCGACCTCCGCAGTCCTCTTCGCAGCCTCATCAGCCCGTTTCCTAGCGGCCAGGCCAGTCCCATGCACCACAGCGGCGCTAGCAGCTTCAGTCACGGCCTCAGCGGCAGCCACACAAGCTTGGGTCGAAGCCAGAGCCATAGCCACGTGCAAAGCCAATCGAGCAGCCCGGCTCGGTCGGTCAGTCCGCAGCGGCAGCGCATCGGCGGCGGCAGCGGCGGCTTACCGGTAGCAGGCAGCCCGGCTAGTCCGAAGAAGGGGCAGCGGTCGCCGCAGCCAGCGGTAGCGGCGGCGGCACCGTCTGACGGCGGCGGCGGTGGTAGCGGTAACGCGGCGTCGCGGACACCGTCACCTCTGCGACGGAAGCTGGGCCAGCTTCCGCTGCCGCCGGTGCAAGGAAGGCCAGGTACGGGTCCTGGTATGGAGCCGGCGGATGTCGTGGAGAAATCCGAGTCCACGATGTTAGTGTGTGTATGTATGTGCGTGTGTGTGTGTGTGTTAATGCGCTGCCATGGATTCTTGCCGACCCACGGGTCTCAATCCCGAATCCGATCCATGGGACGGACGACGGCAACGGATCAATACCTTTTCGTTGCAACAACGACCCACGGGTCACAATCCACGTGCTCATTTCCGAGACCGACATTCCGTTTTCCTTCTCCCCTTTATGCGTGCTGCAGGCACTGTTCCCATGGCCTCCACCTCTAAATTCCATGATCTGGATCCAAGGGCTCCAGGCGCAGCTACTGCCGCAGCTACAGCCCCTTTGGCCGCCGCCGCCGCCGCCGCCGCCGTAACTGTCGTCGTCACGGGTGATGGCAGCCCCGCGGAGGTCTCCGCACTAGCAGCAGCAGCAGCAGCAGCAGGTGGTGGAGGTGGAGGGGGGGTTCACCACCGGCGGCCCCGTACCACGCCGTCCTCGTGGAGGGAGGGGGAATCGTCCCCGGTGGCGTCCTTGTGCGGGGGAGAGCCCTCCCTGGCGGGCATGGCGGTGAGGAGAGGGTTATGTATGTATGTATGCATGTATGTATGCATTATGTATGTATGTATGTATTGTGTTTTAATGATCTGAGCCGGAGGCAGGAGCTGGCATGTGCGTGTATGGCTTAGAGCCGAACATCAATGACATAAAGACAACACCGCATGTGTGTATGTATGTATGTGTGGGGGGGGGGGAAGGGAGGTCACACAGCCCTTCACCCCCACCCCGGCCGCTGCCGCCCGGACCCACCAAACCCCACACCTTCTCCTCCAACCCCGCTACCACAACCCTGGCCGCCCACTCACCCAACAGCACGGCACGGCGGCGGCAGCGGCAGCTCGCAGCCCCGGTGGCCTGTACGGCACCCAGCCCGGCGCACCGCAGCCGCTGGACAACGTGCCGTTGTCAAACCTGGCGCGAGCCCTGAGCCCGCCCCCGACACACCGAGCGAGCTCGCCTAGGGCGTCGTACACAAATTCGCCCGTCGTTGGCGGCGGCCGCGGCACCGCTAGTGGAACTGGATCTCGCCGCGAAACGGATTCCACCGACTTTCTTTTGAACCGCGACGGGGGCCCCCAAGGGGGGGGTCGAATGGGGTCGCCGCCGCGGGGGTCGACACCGTCGCTGGCGGCGGGGCCGTACCGGGGGTACGACATGCCCAGGGCTGCTGGCACCGACGGCGCCGCCGTAGGCGCAGTGTCGCCCGTTGTCCCGGCTGAGGGGGATGGGAATGTGTACGGCAGGGGAAGTAGCGCTGGCAGCGCTACGCACGGCGGCGCTGGCGACGGCGCGGCGGAGTTTGATGTCGAGGCCCCCCGGGCGTCCCGTAGTCCCCCCGTGGAATGGGCGGGAGGACAGGAGGCGGCGGCGGCGGCGGCGCGGCAACTAGAAGGCGAGGTGAGTCGGGTGGCCCGACTTGGCGGTGCGTTAGGGGGGGAATGAAGATCGCGCCCTTGGCTTCCCTCTCACCCTCTCACCGGACTTGCGGCTTCAAACATCCGCAGCTGATTCTTGCTCCTTGAACCCGCACCCCACCCGCACCCCACCCGCACCCCACCCTAACACCCATAAGGCAACCCACAATCATAGCTCGTACTGGGGCCCTTCAGCCCCCTCCTGTCCTCTCCTCCTCCTCTCCACCTGCCGCGCTGCATTGATCCGCAGCGGCGGGGAGCGCCTGCATCGCGATTGTGTGTATGTATGTAATTAAGTAAAACTTTGTTTAGGTGTGTCTAGCGTAAACAATTGTCTCTATATTGTTTATGTGGACTATAATATAGACCACATAAAAAATATAGGACAATACAGTATTATTTATGTGTAATTTTAGTAAACTATGTGCAGGAAGAAACACACAGAACACCAACCTCCCACATTCCCCCTTCAAATCCCCCAGCCCGCGCCGGCCAAATCCGAATTCAAATTTTCTTCTTCTTTCTTGCGTGTTGAGTAATAGGATGAGTAATAGTTTCCTTATGCATTCGTATCCATTTCGGACAGCCCTAGGCCCCAGGGCTCTCGGGACCGGGCCCCGCGGCTATGCCTTTGGAGAGTAACACCACTCCAGAAGGTGTAACACACACATACATACACACACATACACACACATACACAAAAAAACCTCTCACAAACCACCGCCGCAGGATGCCGCGCGAACAACCGCTTTGGACAGCATTTCATCCCCGGTGCCCTCGCCGCCGTCGCTGACGGCACGCCGACCGCCGCCGTACACCCAAACACAACGACAACAGCACCCGCCCCAAGAACAGCAACTCCAACAACCGTCAACTGCCGAGCAACTCGTGGAGTCTCCGCCGGCAATCAGCGGAGAACCCGGGTTCGAACCCGAGCAGGAGCAACAGCCCGAGCAAGGGGATCCGTACTCTCGAATGACGGTGCTACAGCGCCATCAAGCCTTGGGGCTGTACAATGACATGGTGCTACTGCCGGTGCAGCGGCGGCGACCCGGCGCGGAAGTGGAGAGCCCCGTGGAGGCGGCGGGTTTCGGAGCGGAGTTCGAGGGGCTGTACTATAGCGACCACTTGGCGCCGCCGTCGCTAGGGCGGCAGCCTTCCGGCAGTTTCTTGCCGTACTCTGATTCCGATCGCGACGCCGGTGGTGCCGGTGCTGGTGTTGATAACCCTGAGCTGGTGGTGGCCCCCATGTACGTGGAGTACGTCCACGCGCCCTCGCTGGTGGTGGAGGTGACGGAGGCACTCGCAAGCCAGGTCGGTCGGTCTGTGAGTGATTGGGTGGGTGGTGAGTGATTGGGTGGGTGGTGGGGGAGGGGGTCCCCGGGGGCCCTGATGGGGGGGGGTAGGAATGGCTGGGTGGATGTGGCTGGGGGGGTTCAGGGGTGTCCCACGGTGGCGTGTGTTTTCACGGCCGCATGTCCACTGTACGGGGGTCGTACGACTCTCCCCTGTCCTTGGTTGACCATTCCTTTGCGCTTTCTCCCCGACCGAACTCCTTCCCGGGGACTTGTGCTGGGGCGCGACACAAACACAAACACACGGTTACACGGTTACACGCGTGATTCCCGTGCCTCTCCCCTGAGGTCTCCCCCCCCC